TATGTTTCTTTATGCTTGGAAATTGTCATTACAAACATTCCCTAATAAGAGACATGCTCTGATAAGAAGGGAAGGTGTTACTCACGGAGACGTCCTGGGCTCTGTGACCAGGTGGGACCGCCACCCCGAGAGATGAAGAGAGAGATGGAGCCGCTCAGCTTCATCGGTGTGGGGCCGTGGTCAGGAAGTGGCTGGGGAGGGGAGCCTGCTGTCCTGTGTCACTGTAAGGCACGGTCTGCTAGACCCAGTGCTGCTGCAGCTGTTGGCACTGGGGCCAGTGGGGGCTGCCCAGCGCGGCCAACCAGTGTGAGGGTCTTATGAATATGCAGATAGTGGCCAGAGCTGGTTGGCTGTCCCCCTGCCACCTTCCACCCCCCCCCATCCCAACTCAGGTGCCTGGGGGAGCCTGTTCAGAGAGGACCTTCCTGAAATCTCTCTCTTTTGTGCTTGCCTGAGGAACCACAAGAGACCTTCGAAATGATGGACTTCTCCCACTGCTCTGGCCTTTAGTGGGGGAGTCTTGGCCTCTGCTTCCAAATGCCCCAGCAAGGCAGCTCCACAGTGAACATCCTCCTCCCTGCCCCTCAAGCATCCTGAAGATACTGGGACCCGCCCAGCACCACAATTGCAGGAGGGTCCAAAACCCTGCTGGGGAGGCTGGTTGCTGGGCCCAAAGCCTCATCCCTGGCAGCTGGGGAGGATTCACTTCCAAATCCATCTACTCCCAAACGTCACCCTGTTTTGCTTGGGACATGGAATGAATGTTGTGACTTATAGCAACGAAAATCAGGGAACTACAGTTCATCTACATGGGTAAATCCTCAAAGCATTATGTTGAGTGAAAGAAAGAAGTCCAGAATGATACAGGCATGGTGATTCCATTTATGTTATGTTCAAAAATAAAAACCTATCTGGATTTTTTTCGTATAGCCTTCTGTCCATTGTTTTTAATGACAACTGAATGGATAGATAGATGGAGTCTAGGCATCATGAGTCACGCAAAGTGAGTATGTTGTTGTTGTTGTTGTTGTTCTTTGCCTTCGAGTCGGACCTGACTCATAGCAACCCTTCCTTGGGTTTCCAAGGTGCTATCACTATGGAAATAGATTGCCCTACCTTCCTTCCGAGGAGTGGCTGGTGGGTTTGAACTGCAAGCCTTCTGGTTAGCAGTCAAGTGCCTTAGGCATTATGCTACCAGAGCTCCCAAAGTTAATATAGGAGATAATAACCCCTGTTTTAAGGAGCCCAGAGATAGAAGGAAAGTCCATCTACCATCTGGCCATTAATACAACTGTATAAGCAAAGTTGTGAACACATACAGACATACAGAAAAACTTTGGGGGATTTGGGGTAAGGGAAAAGAATGCTGTGTATTTTATTGAAGGTGAACTGCCTACTCTTTTTTTTTTCTTTTTAAATGAATGAAACCACTTTTCCTTCCTGAAAACATATATTTTTTCTTTTACGACTTGAAAGTAAATACAACTTTTCTCAATTTAAAGAATAGACAAGACTATGTTTATAGTTTAGAACACAAGGATATTGACATTATAATGAGAGCAAGGGGCTGGTTAATGTATAATTCAGGATAAAACAGAACAGAAACCACTGGCTGCAGAGTTGATTTCAACTCACAATGACCCCATGTGTGTTGGAGTAGAGTTGTGCTTTTCAATGGCTTTCAGTGGCTGATACTGTTTGGAAATAGGCCTCCAGGCATTTCCTCTGAGATGCCTGTGGGTGGACTTGAACCCCGATCTTTCGGATAGCAACTGAGCTTGCATTAACCATTTGCACCACCTGGGAACTTCACAATTCAGCATAGTAGTAATCAACTCTGGAGAGAGGAGCAAAGAGGGCCACAGAGGGCTGTTCTGCTTGGTGAGCCTCATGGAGAGTATGGATATTTCTTTTCTTACTCCTTTTAAAAATATACGCATATTATTATATCCCCTTTAGAATGTACATTTCACAACAAAAATGTTTTTCTCTTTTGAACCCTGTCACAACTTGTTTTCATAACCTCCTGGCCCAAAAGACAATGCGGCTGTGTCTTGTGAGACTCTAAATGCAGAAAAGAGTGAGACCTTATTGGATTGCACTTTGAACTCCACGGAGGCTCATCTGTGCACCTCAAGGAAATCAATGTCAACCTTTATCCTCCAAGAGAGACTGCATGCTACCATGTACTCATGTGTCGGTGTGGGTGTGTCTGTGTGTGGTGTCTAAGACTAAAATCTAAGACTCACTTGGGTGATCACTGAAACTCCAGAAGTGCTTTGTCGCATCATCCAGGCTTGAGCTTCTAAACCCTAGATAATTATTAAAAACTGTGAAAGAATGAAGTCACTATCTAATTAAAATTAACAGCAACCCTTGAAGAGATTGCCATAGCTCTTGAGTACTGTTCTCGGGCTCTTCAGCTGCAGCCAACAGCACTATAAGCACGGAAGTAGTCACTGCACAAATATTTACTGAGTCCCTAAAGTGTGCCAAGCACTGTGTTCTGTGTTGGGGGATTCTGGGAAATAGAGTCATTCCTTCCCTCTTGCAGCTCCGCCCAGTGGGAGAGAGAGTAAACAGGACATTACAATATAATGCAATGTAGCATACAGACACGATGCCTTGGAAGCACAGTGAAAGGAGCTATTAACTCTGCCAGACGGTTTAGGGAAAGATCCAGAAACTTCTTAAAGGATGACTGAAGTTGTCAAAGACTTTGTATTACAATCTACAATCAACAATGGAAGCAGCAGTCAAAACATCAAAAGACATATTGCATTGGGCAAATCTGCTGCAAAAGACCTCTTTCAAGTGCTGAAGAGCAAAGATGTCTCCTTGAAGATTTAAAAAAAAAAAAAAAAAAACCAAACTCACTGCCATGGAGTCAGATCTGACTCATATGGACCCCTCCTTAGGTTTCTGAGGTGGTATCACTACAGAAGTTGATTGTCCAATCTTCCTTCCGAGGAGTGCCTGGTGGGTTTGAACCACCAACCTTCTAGTTAGCAGTCAAATGCCTTAGGCACTATGCCACCACAGCTCCCCCTTGAAGACTAGGGTGCGCCTAACCCAAGCTATGGTATTTTCAATCGCCTCATATGCATGTGAGAGCTGGACAATGAATAAGGAAGACCAAAGAAGAGTGGATGCTTTTGAGTTGTGGTGTTGGTGAAGAGTAGGGAAAGTACCATAGACTACTAAAAGAACTAACAAATTTGTCTGGAAGAAGTGCAGCCGGAATGCTCCTTGGAAGCGAGGATGGCCAGACTTCATCTCACCTACTTTGGTCATGTGGTCAGAAGGGACCATTCCCTGGAGAAGGATGTCATACTTGGTAAAGTGGAGGGTCAACAAAAAAGAGAAAGGCCTTCAACAAGGTAGATTGATTGACACAGTGGCTGCAAAGATGGGCTCAGGTATAGCAAGGATTGTGAGGATGGCACAGGGCAGGCAGTGTTTTGTTCTGTTGTACACAGGGTCTCTATGAGTGGGAGAAAACTCGATGGCACCTAACAACAACAACAGGCAAGTAGGAGGGGGAAAAGACCACACAACCATGTGAAGGAGTGAAATAGCAGTGAGGGGATGGCTGGTAGTGTTTTATGACTGCAGTTCTGGACCTGTGAAAAACTGAGAGAAAGAGGATCAAAATACAGCCAGAAGCCAGATTATCCGGTCCCTCGTCAAGTTGAGGAATTTGTACTTTATCCCACTGCAGGGAGAAGCTACTGAAAGATTTTAAGCAGGGAAATGACAAGTTTAGATTTGCATTTCAGAAGGAGCTTTGCCAAAGGTGTAGAGGATGGGCTGGCGAAAGTGGGAGTGGGGGCCCAGAAGCATTTAGGAAGCTTTGAAAGTAATCCCAGTGAATGAAAGATGCCGAGGATTTGATTGAGGGCAGCACAGGGCAAAGGTGTTTTCTCTATTTCTGGTTAGGGTTTCTGAACATCCTTCCAGAATCTCAGTGGTAGTGCTTTCACGTTTGGGGGAGTGAAGGAAGAAACCAGCAGGAAGAGGCACTGGGTCATTCATTCATTCATGCATACATTCCTACATCGCTCATATTAATTCAGCCAGAGGTGTATACAGCACGTTTTGTATTAGGAAAGTGAACTGTGAAGGTGAAGACACAGGGGCCTGAAGACACAGAGGAGGGGGATGTCACGGAGGAAGGAGTGCTTTCATTTTGAAGGCAGGGCAGAATGGCATGCCTAAAGCTGGGAGGCCCAAATTCAGTCCACAAGCATTTACTGTGCATCTAACCTACAGCAATCTCTGTTCTAGGTGCTGGACAATCGGCAGTGAACAAGACTCTTGATCTAATGGAGTTTATATTCTAAGGATGGGGTGACAAACGAATGACCCACCAAAATGCACAGCAAGAATTAGCTTGGCTGAAGGGAGTTTGGGTAGGGTTTGGGGAAGATCCAGAGATGTTTTGCAGAGACAAGGATAGTTGAAGGTCTTTGGGTTGGTAATGGGAGCCTTTTAAAGGTTCTTTGGGGTTCTGGTTGTATGTTTCAGGGTCAGGGAGGCAGGGATGTGACAAATGGTCTCACAGCTGAGGAACCAGAGGCTCGGGAAGGTTATGTCACTTGCCCGAGGCGACACAAGTCTTAAGACCAAACGCATCTTAGCCAAATTCCGAGTTCAAACTCGTGCTCGCCTTTCGCCTTTTTCCCGCGAAGCAGAGGCGGAACCGCGCTGCGTCTGGGGTTCCTAGGCGAGGAGATTGCCGCGCTCAGCGTCCAGCTTGGCGGAAAGGTCGGGGAGGTCCTGATCTGGAGTGGTCCGGACGCTGGGCAATAGTGGCCTCTTCGGAGGGCCGGCCCAGGCGGGCGGGCGGGCAGCGCAGCTGGATCACAAAACACCCTACCGCACCCTGTCCGCGCCGCTGGACTGAGACGAGGCCGCTCTGCGCCGCCCACTCCCTCAGCCAGTGGTTTGCTCCGAACACCCCTCGCAGCGCGGCGCATGCCGCTGCCCGCTCCACTTCCGGCTGTTGGGGGGCCCGATATCCGGTGTTCGCCCGCCCTCGGCTCCGCTGCTGCTGTGTCCGCGATGCTGTCCCGGTCCCGTTGCGTGTCCCGGGCTTTCAGTCGTTCGCTCTCCGCCTTTCAGAAGGTACGGTCCGGCCGGGCCAGGGCCCTGGTGGGTGACCAGCCCACCGGCAGGCGGACGGACGGCCTGGGGGCAGGGGCGCGGCGCGCCGGCCAGGCCGGGCACCAAGGGCACCAGGACGCGGAGGCCGCGAGCTGGACTGCCTGGGGCCGCAGTCGTTCTCGGGACCGTCCTGCTGTGCCTGCCAAGCTGGGCGCTCCTCGCCCAACCGAGGCAGCCGCGCCTACTGCCCCCTGATGCACCCCACCCTCCGTTCCGTGCTCTGGAGCAGTGCCCGCCCCGACACGAGACTCAGAGTTCCGGCGGGGGCGCCGCGGAGTTCCCCAGTGAGACCAGGGGATCCGTCTCCTCTCTTCTGTTCAAGTCAAGGGGTGTCAGCACTGTTGGGAAGTTGAGATAGTTTGACAGGCCCGTTGTGCTGTCTGGACCGCGAGCCTTGGGTGTTGCATTTACCTTGTGGAGTCACGAGATTCACCTGTCACTAGCATTGGGACAGCTTTTGAATGTGTCCTTAAGAGAAAAGGCTGGAGCCCTGGTGGCGCAGTGGTTAAGCGCTTGGCCGCTAACCAAAGGATCTGCAGTTCGAACCCATCAACCGCTCCGTGAGAGAGGTGTGACAGTCTGCTTCCCCCTTGGAAACCCTATGGGCAGGTCTCAGTCTTACAGGGTTGCGATGGAAGGCAATGTTTTATTTCCCCCCCTTCTTATATCTCGGGTGACGTGGGTTATGTCTTCTTTCTCAACAGGGGAACTGCCCTCTAGGGAGACGTTCCCTGCCTGGTAAGTTCTGCCCCTGCCCCGGCGGTCACCTAAAATACTCTCCTCTTGGGCAGAGCAGTATGTGAGGGAAATAGAGGTGGCTATGTTTCTCCTCAAGTGTTTAAAGACAGTTCAGATAGGAGCAAAACACGATCTTAGTTAAGGCAGTTTAACCCTTTTACATGCTATTTAATAACAGCTGTCACTTTTTCATTTAGTGCATAGTTATTGTCTGTGTGACAGGCACTGTGTTAGGCACTAACTAGGAGTACAGAAATGAATAATTCTTGTCTTCATGAAGTTTACAGTCTAGGGAGAAAGACAAAGTTTTAAAGGACTAAGCTCATACGCTTAGTCCTTTAAAATTTGTGTAACTGCTGAGAAGGAAACAAAAGAGGGTAGACAGAGAAGGCCCCTCTGAGTAGGTGACACTAAAACAGTGACCTGGAGAATGTGACAGAGCTAGGAAGAGAAAGAATGGGAACAGCATGAGTAGAACTTCTTGAGAAGAGAAGGGCTCAGCTGGCAGTGTTTAGGAACTGGAAAAAAAAATGGTTTGAGGGAAAGAGGAGCAAGAGACAGAGGGTGGAATAGATACTTTTAGAAGGCGTTTAGATTTTATCCCACTAATTTTTGGGGAAATCCATAATTTCTTTATATGGTTTATTTTGTATTACATGCCTAGCGTAAATACTTGTTGAATGAGGGAATCTTACTATAGGCTTTCTGTGTGCCAAGCACTGTTCTGAGTGTTGTTTTTGCATTTTCCGTTAATGATCATACAACAGTAAGAGAGATTTTATCTCTTATTCACAAATGAGTACCCGGAGGCTCAGAGAGGTTGTGTGTTTTGTCCAGGGTCACTCAGCCAACTGTTAGTCAAGCCAGATCTGCCTGACTCTAAAGCCTGAACTCTTGACCCTCATGTAGTGAACAGGTAATTTATTGAGTGCTTACTATGTGGCAAGCACTGTGCTAGGTGACAGGGATACAGATGGCCTCTGCCCACATGAATCTTGTGGGCTAGCTGGAATGACAGAATACCATTTGTATTTATGCACACATAAAGACATAATTGTGGTAACTGCAACAGAAGAGAAGTACAGGTGAGAAGGTCGATGATGTAACCCAGTTTGGGAGGGTAGAAGTATAGTGAGAATGTCAGTAAAGGCTTCCCTGAAAAAGTGACGTTAAAGTTGAGACTGCGAATAAATAGGAGTTAGCCAAGAGAGCAGTCCTCCAGGCAAAAGGAATTGCTTATACAAAGGTTTTCAGGCAGGAAGGGGCTTGACTGGTCATTGCAATAGAAAGGACGCCTGTCTGGCCGGAAAGATAGGCAGGGCTGGACAGCACAGCGCCGTGTAAACATTTTGAGAGTCATGAAAACGTAAGACACCTAGCACAGTGTCGGCTCAAGTGGACGCTCAGTAAGAAAACATTCTTTTCGACTGGGAATCCTGCAAAGACCCCGCAAATGTTTTCTTCCTTTGCAGACTAGCAGGGTAATGGAAAGAGCCTTGCAGTTGGGGTTGCATCCTGGTTTAGGGCTTCACTTTGGGCTAGTCACTTAACCTCCAGATGCCCTATTTATACATGAAATGGAAGGAATGGCAGATGGTTGTTCCACTTCAGAGAGATACTGTGAGACTTGAAAATCAAAATGAGGTCACTATGTGAAAGCTTTTTATAAACCTTAAAGCACTGTACAAAAATGCAACTTACTGTAGGGTAAACTCTATGTTGGGCTCAGGTTTCTGAAAATCGGTACAGGCTGCTAGCTGTTGCAGCTCAAAACCATGCTGTGCTTGAGAGTTATGCTGTAGTCACTGGCTGCCAACTTGACTCTGAAGTGCTGGGGGTGTTTGTGAGGAGGTGGGCATGAGAGAGATGTCTTCTGCTTGGTGCCTCCTGAGCAACATGGTTCAGAAAAAAGGTCTGAAAAAATAAAACATACAAAAGAATATAGGGGAAGGCAGTTGTAGCAATTAGTCATTAGTTGGAGGAAAGCAGTTACCTGTGATAAAGCTGGTTGGTGGGGCAGACGGGGGTTCCTGCCTAGTTGAAAGTAACCAGGGTGGAAGACCTCAGGAAGAGCATGGGAAGGGGATAAATGGAAAGATGGGAAAATGATTTGATTAGTCCCAGGACAGGTTGGATACCCTAGACCTAACGTACCTCAGTCTTTATTACTCGGCTTCAGGCAGTAAGACTTCCAGCTCAGTCCATTTAGTGATGAGGGGGGGAACAGAAACCCAGACCAAACATCCCTTTGCTTCTCAGATTAGGTTATGTATAGTCCCAGGATAGACCATCACATGTCTTTTTCAAGCTTCTGTTGTATTTGAAGACTTGGAGAATGGAAACATTTTATTATGAAAGCATACAAGCATAAAACAAAGTGTATGAATTTTTAAGTTAAGCAAGATTATAAAACTGCCTTGGGCTATGCCCACTTATTTCTCCCCATTCATCCCCAAGCACATACCCTCAGCCCCATATATCTATCACCTTCTGCTATTAAGGCTACTTGAGTGAAAACGTTTGAGAAACAGGGTGATGAAGATTTTATTGTTATCTGCTGTAGATCCTGCTCTCTCAGACCTCTTTTCCATTCCCAGCGGGTACTTTTTATAAGATGAAGGTTGTTGGTTAAGAGTTGTTTTGTTTCTTGCAGGGGTCTCATTATGTCAGGGACCAGGTTACCCTGACAGCAGGAAGATTGTGTAAGTATTACTGGGGAGCACAGATACGTGACCGTGGGGTATTTATTAAGATGCTATTTGACCATCCAGCTTCTTCCTTGGCCTCTTGGCCTAGAATCAAGGTACTTAATGGACAGACCTAACCTTGATGCTCCTTTTTTGTGTGTAATGTACCTTGAGCGTCAGTCCCGTCAGGTGCTGAAGCAGGAGCGCGCGTGTCTTCTCCAGGTGTTTAGATTGTAACGAATGTTAAATGGAAACCCTCTTTTATGGGCGTGGACATAGGGATGCTGCTCAATATTCTAGCAGCATACAAGTGTACCTGAAGTTCTAGAGGTTACATTTATCATAGAAATTGAGAACATCCTCTTGGTAGCATAGTTACTCGTTTTAGAAACAGTATAAGTGAAAGACTAGCTGGTTGAGCCCTGAGATTGGATTAGTTTGGCAGGCTTGCTGTTATTGTGTAATGCACAATCTGGAGAAAGGCTACCCGTGCATGTTTTGGATTAACTTCTGGTTATGAATGTTGCTTAGTGCTAGCTTAGTGCTACTTCACATGCCAGCTATTTTCAAGGTGTAGTCAAAGGATGCTCTCTCAGCTACTGATTTACTTGCTCTACAGCGAGAGGCTTCAGAGTAGCTCCTTCCTCACTGTGCATCACAATGGGATTTTTTTTTTTTTAATTGAGGAAATTAAGCACTCAGTTCTAGAAGTCTGATCTGGTGTGTTGTCTTTGGAGGACAGTTTGGCAGTCAGACACCTTTGAACTATGTATACCTTTTGATCTAGCCATTCCGTTTCTGGAAATCTATACTGAAGAACTCCTGATAAACACAGACTTTGCTAGAAATGGCCAAACGGGTTGGTTAAATTATGCCATGTTCACACTATAATAAGTGGGAAAAGGCTGGCTACAAAAGGATTCCATTTCATGCTTCTTACCTATCCTGTTTCATACATAGTATAATTCAGTCATAAATGTTCTTTTTGCTATTTTTAAATAGTCTGTGATAAACATCTAATACTTTTATAATTTAAAAAATGTTTAGAGAAAGATTCAAAATACGCTACTCATTTGCAGTTCAAATGAAAATTGGAGAAACCACAAATTTTTATGCAATAAATACTAAAAAAAATAACTGGAAGTAAATTATTAAAATAACTTTAGGGGAGCTCTGGTAGTGTAGTTCCTAAGGCATTTGACAGATAACCAGAAGGCTGGCGGTTCAAACCCACCAGCCACTCCTAGGAAGGAAGGTTGGGCAATCTATTCCCTAGTGATATCGCCTTGGAAACCCAAGGAGGGGCCACTATGAGTCAGGTCCTACTCCACGGCATGTAACAACAACAAACTTCAGAGAAGGAAAAATCGCCACTAATTTTATCACCCTAGTCCATTATCTGGTTTTATGCATTGTGTATTTTTTCTCTGAATAAATAAGATACCCACTTTGTTTTTAAAATCATTTATTGTAAAGCTTTTTTTAGTTTTATGTTTCATTTTAATAGAGGATCCATTTATGTGCTTCATAAGGTACAAGGTATCCGTGAGAAGACTTTTCTGTCTTGTCCTCCAGCTCCACTAGATAACCTGTTCCCACTGGTAGCCGTGCTCAGGGTCTTGGTGTCATTGCAGAGCAGTCTGCATTTGCACCTGACCTGTTAACTTTTGCCATGGGCTTATGCAGAATATTCTGTGTTTTGTATTTTTTCCCATAACGTACATTTTTTCCCTTGAGCCTACGGAAACCTTGCAGTTATTTTGGTACTATGAAAGTAAAACTAGAAAAGGCAGCTTAAATCTGTTTTGCTTTTCTATTATAAAGGTAACAAATACTGCTTGTAGAGAGTATTCAAACAATCCTGAGGTGTAGAAAGCAAAAGTGCCCATCATTCCAAATCATTCTGCCCAAGAAATGTTTCTGTATGTGTGTATGTACAGGTACCCATAGATCCTGTATATGTCTCCATGTCCCACTCCCCAGAGGTAACCACTGTTCGTGGCTTTGTGTGTAAAAGGTGATACCTGCTCCCATTGCCATTATTAAGGTTAGGAGCCATATCAGAAAATGCCTTGTCCTTTTGAGGTTCCTCTTGAGTGAATCCAGATGTGCTGCTTCCTAGCAAGAGAAGAGAAGAAGAGATACCATGTTGTTTTCATATGTTATTGTTGTTACGTGTCATTGAGTCAGACCCGACTCATAGCAACCCCTCTTTGGGTTTCCAAGGCAGTATCACTACGGAAGTAGATTGCCCCATCTTCCTTCCAAGGAGTGGCTGGAGGGTTTGAACCGCCAGCCTTCTGGTTAGCAGTTAAGTGCCTTCGGCACTACGCTACCTTGTTTGACTTTACTTCTGCATTAGCTCTCACCTTGCTGCTTTATCTGATCTGAATCTTTAGTCCTGAGGACAGAAATTCCATGTACATGGCACAGCTGCATGTACCCTGAAGGCACGCAATATCTCTTGTTTGGACTATAGTTAGTTTAGAAGGAAACCTAGTCAGGAAGTTAAGTCCTTTTGATGGACCAGGTTGCTTACATTTTTCTTCAGAGGACCAAACGTAGGTCTCTGTTTTGTGAGAGCTGGCGTTTCAGTGCAGCACTGTGTCCTGGGCTCACAGGCCGAGCTCCCTGTTTAAGATGCCTGAATCACCCAGGCTCTACTCTAGACCTGCTGAGTCATGACTCTGGGGGTAGGGCCTGGGCATGTGTGCTTTGAAAAGTTTCCCCAAGTAGCACTGGTGGGCACCCCTAATCAAGAATCCCTGATTTAAAGAGAAGGTAACCTGTGGTGCCTTAACTAGAATAAAGTATGAATGGTTTGCCTGCTAAAGAAGTTAACTTCTCTGTTTTATTTTGTTTTTGTAGCTTTAACATCAGTAATGTCTTTAGTGTTCGCTGCTTCAGAACTACGGTCGTGTGCAGTAAGTATCTGCCTCTATCTCCCTGCCTTCTGGGAAATGAAGTTTTAATGGGAAGAGCAAAATTTCACTGAATTTAATTTAAAAAGTGAAAGGAGAAACACTTGGACTACTTGTGATATTTCTTTTTTGCTCTTTTTTTTTAGAGGATGAGGTGATTACAGTCAAAACCCCAGCATTTGCAGAATCTGTCACAGAGGGGGATGTCAGGTGGGAGAAAGGTAAGATTTTGTGCACTCTCACTTTGGAGTTTAAATGTTTTCCCAAAATCCAGCCTCCCCCTCAAGATAATCAGTGGACCTTATGACTCTGCCCTGTTTCCTATAGACAATACTGTACTGTTGTGTACTTTCTCTCAGTCCTGTAGCAAAAGGGTCTTGTAGCATACCTGCCAAAAGGGGTTTCATGGCTACTGTAGGCTCCCCATTAATAGGTCTCTCTGTTTTGTGACTTTATCTTTGCAGCTGTTGGAGACTCAGTTGCAGAAGATGAAGTGGTTTGTGAGATTGAAACTGACAAGGTAGGCTTGTCCTAGCATAGTGGCAATTCTTTATACCCTCCCCTTGGCTTAACCTAATGAAAGAAATGGGGAACTTAACTGTTGTTTAAAGATGATTTTTGACGGGCTCTAACTTCATCTTCAACTTTTAACGAAGAGCTTGTTAAAAGGGGGAAAAAAGACTTTAAAAGTTTAGTTTTAGATTGTTTGCATATATGTACTTTCATAGTTTTCATTTTTATAGCTTTTTAACTTTCAAGCACCTTATTTTGCATGAGCTATTGTAGTTATTTTTCGTGTGTCGACTGAGTAAATATTACTTTAATGTTTTTAAGAAAGAACAGAAAGAATGAATCTTCATAATAACAGTGACTTGTCGTTGCTCTTCTCTGAGAGTGTGGACTTTGTGCAGAGGGTCTTATAATCTGTGTTCCAACTCTTGTGCCTCATGTTTAAGATTCTCTGCAATTAATTCTCTAAGTTTGAACTCTTTCTCAATCTCTCTTCCTTTCACAGACATCTGTGCAGGTTCCATCACCAGCAAATGGCGTGATTGAAGCTCTTTTGGTACCTGATGGGGGAAAAGTAGAAGGAGGCACTCCTCTTTTCACACTCAGGAAAACTGGTGGTAAAGAAGTTCTCCTGGTTGTCAAGGTCTCCAGTGTTCCCCCTTGGAATTGGGGCTGAGGATGTACACATTTCTTGATGTATTGCAAAAACCAGGGCTTCGGTTCGACACCCTGCTGAGAATTTGCTTTTCAACCTCAGATAAACCAAAGCAGAATCTACATTTTCAGTTTGATTAAAATGTAGATTCTGATTTGATATATCTGGAATGGAAATAGAAATTTTGAGCAGGGGATCGAACCAGAGCAGACTGGTTCAAAGCCTTGTCAGAAACCCTTTGGCGTTCTATCTGCCCTTAATTGGAATTATCAGATCCTGATAGTTTGTAGTATTTCTTTGTTTTTAAATGTTCCCCACATGTTTCTTATACACAGCCAGGGTTAAGAGATACTATTCTAAAGTGAAAAGCAGCAGTATTTCATGGTGCCTTCTTGTTGTTGTTATGTGCCATTGAGTCGGACGCGACTCATAGCAACCCCTCCTTGGGTTTCCAAGGCAGTATCACTACGGAAGTAGATTGCCCAGTTGATGCCTAGGTGGTGCTTAAAGCAGTTTGACTGCTTACCAGAAGGTCTGCGTTTGAACCCCTCGGCTGCTCCACAGGGGAGAGAGGATGCAGTCTGCTTTCACAGAGATTTATAGCCTTGGAAACCCTGTGGGGCAGTTGTACGTTCTGTGCTATCCAGTAGGGTCACTATGAGTTGGAATTGACTCAGTGGTAGTGGGTTTTTTATTATAAAGAGTTCAGTGTAGTTTCTTTTCAAATCTGTGGGTATTTCTGTTGGAAGGAAAATGAGCAACAAGAGCAGAATTTGTACAGGACCTCACAATGGAAATAATGTTTTCTGACTTTTGTTAAATGTTGTAACTGCTAAGGTCTATTTCTTTCTTATTGTTAAAATAGTCAAGCAGAGAAATGGTAGATTGCCTCCTTGAGGTTGAGCAGGGCAAGACCAGAAGAAGCACAGATAGAAAGAACGTATAGTAGAAGACTAGGAAATAAGAATGAGTCTTCCATTTGAAGAAGGCCCTTTTCTGATCATGCATTCCTTTCTGTTAAAGCAAAAGAAAGTTCTTCTCGTTTAAATATAAAAAATTTAATGTCCTGATGGGTAAGCATCTAAATCTAAATAAACGTGTAATTTATAGTTATTTGTCTATTATTGACCACCCTCCCAATCTAGGGAATCATCCTAGATTAAATGCTTTGAACTCCCTTTTTTCTTCTGCATCTTTTTTTTTTTTTTTAATTATGATTTGGGTAAAAGTTAACAGAAAATTTGCTTTCCATTCAGTAGTTCATATACGTTTTGTTTCATGATACTGATTGCAATCCCCATTGTTAACAGCTTTTTTCCTACTTCCTCCCTGTGGTTACCTTTTCCCTGTGTCCTTCTTTCCTATGCATTCCTGCTGTCTGAGCTTTCTCCCAGTACAAGTATTGCCCTTTTGATCTCCTGTGGTTGATTGTTCTAAGGAGTGTGCCTATGTGGTATAATTATTCACCTTGTAGGCTGTCTGTTGTTTGGCTTGAAGCCATGGGAGTGAGTTCAATTTCAGGCCCAAAGGGTCATCATGGTCTTGGAGGTTTCATCAGTCTTTATCAGACCAGTAAGCTTGCTTTTTTTGTTTGTTTGTTTTTTAAATGATTTTGAGTTTTGTTTCGTATTTTTTTCCACTCTATCCAGGATCTCCTGTTTTGATCACTTTCCGAGTGATAGACAGTGATAGCTGGGCACCATCTCATTCTTCTGGTCTCAGGGTCATGTAGGCTGAAAAAATGCTTTGAACTCTTAAGCTTGAATGACCCCTTAGTTATTTTAGCTTTGCTTTTTTTTTTTTGGATAAGTAAGAGTAGTTTTCTCTGTGTCTCTATGTGATATTAAAATGAAAGATGAGACTCTCAGTATGACCATAATTAGAAATATATTGCTTTTATGTATGTGGTCCAACATTTTCAGTTGCTTGGGTTGTTTTGCTTGGAAGTTTTTACTTTCTTGTGCTTATTAGATACTTTGAAAGTACTTGCTGGATTTAATGATTAATAGGTATTTGTTAAGTCAGGAGGGCAACTAAATTGAGCCCATTATCTGATACAGGACATGTAGGGGCCCTGGGGAATAGAAATACAGTGCCTTATATCATTGTGTGTATCTCCTGGTGTCTTGTAGATACTTGTTAATTGATTGGAACTGGAGCTTTTGTTGCTAAATTTTGTTTAACAGCTGCAGTTAGCTTACTTTCCATTCCAGATACTAGCAGTGACATCTGTTTTTCTTGGTTTTCAGCTGCTCCTGTGAAGGCGAAGCCAGCTGAGGCTCCTGCTGCTGCAGCCCCCAAAGCAGAGCCTGTGGCGCCAGCAGCCCCTCCTCCCCCTGCAGCACCCATACCCACTCAGATGCCACCGGTGCCCTCACCAGTGCAGCCTCCTGCTAGCAAACCAGGTAAACCTGTAACTCCCACGTGTCTGTATGTGGGAGAAGAACATCTCATCTAGGGTCATGCTCCCTCACAGGGTAGCATCTGAGGCTGATCATAGCTCTGAATAGGCCCAGGTGGCTGCTCTGTAGAGCGAACACTAGACCTCTAGACTTTGTATCAGGAAATCTGGGTTTGTATCCTAGCTTTCCTTAACTAGCTGTGGGACTTCAGGCTACTTACCTTTCTCAGCAGATTATTCGTCTATGAAGTGGGATACACCACACGCTTCAGAATATCTTGAGGATGAAGTGACGGCACAGCCTGAGAGCACTGATGGGTACTTGTAACCTTCCTTTCTCATGCAGCAGCCCCCCTCTCTTCTTTTTCAGTGTCTGCTGTGAAACCCACTGCTGCTCCCCCTGTGGCTGAGCCAGGAGCTTTCAAAGTTCTGCGTTCAGAGCACCGGGTAAGCCTGTGAGGACCAGTGTGAGGAGAGTGGCAGGAGGAATTGTTGAGATGAGAGGGCTGTGGGTGTGATGGTGCCTACCTTTGAATAGCCAGGCCCCCTGCAGCTTATTCCCTTGGACTCTACAGCCTTGGTGTGGCCTCGGGGCAATGTAGGTGGGTTTAATATTCTGCGAATTTAAAAGTTGCTTCACCGGTGTCAGGATGAACTTTGGACTTGGTAGAATTCTAAAATTCATAGGTTAGGGTTTTAGAATTTGGAGATTCCTCTTTAAAAGAAAAACTTTGGGTCAGATCACCTGTGTTTGGAGGAAGAAATGATACATAGAATTGAATTTATTATATTCATTAAATTTATTTTATTAATTGATTTCCATCTGTTTAAATAAATTAAAAAAATGTTTTCCCGCCAAAGAGCTCAACCTCAAGAAATACAAAAGTTTTGACTTGCTAGCATTATGTAGAAAGTTAGGGAGACAAGTTAGCTAATCTTCAAACAGGATCTTTTCAGCCCCAGGAAACGTCTCTTAACACTAGCCTGTACTGAGTGTTGACTTTTAGGATGGATTGTGTTTGACTGTGTACCTCCTGAAATTACTGCTTAGCATATCATCATTGGAATGGTGGTTCCTTCTGTTGATATAATGACCCTAACGTAAGTACAGTCATGTTAGATGATTTTATTTGAAGCACACAGAAAGTATTTCCTGTCTAGAAAATGAGGAAACTTGAGTTTCTGGAAGCAACTTGTTCATTGTCACATAACTGTTAATGGTAGTCAGGACTAGAAGCTGAGGTTTCCTGAACCTTGGTCCAGTGGGTTTTCCACTGTATATGCCTTGGGCAGTGAAATATTTACAGGAGATGGTAGTTTGGTAGTCTTCTGCATTTCAAGAGAGGTGGTCCAGTGAGCTCTGTTTTTGTCCTTGTGGGGTATTTAGCCAAAGGCTGCCCTATGGCAGCAGCTGTCCCGTGCAGTCAAAACCTCAAGGAAGTAGGGTCAAGGGTATGGGTTCTCCTTGAGAATACCTGCTAAACATAGACTAGCCTCCACAGTTGCTCATGGGTTTCCTTTGCGTGTTTCTCTTCACAAGTAGCTACTTTCATGCAAGTCTTTCTCTAGCCTCAGAAATTGCCCTTCTGTAATGATTCTTGGGCTAGCTAGATCTAAGCCACACTCTTCCTTTTCATACATTGGGTTGAGTTTGGTTTTTAAATCAACCCATTTCCTGGGCCTCCGTTCTTGGTCATACTTAAGGCACATCTGAGTGAGTGGTTTTTGCCCATGGTTTCTCTTGCTCAGAGACTCAAGGCCACCACCACAGCACAGGAAGCTGGAGCTCCCGTTGTACTCAATCCTGTGTTCCCGTGGTCCTTGGCCGTCCACCCCTGGCAAGCCGAGTGCTCCCTCTGACTACATGGGGGATGCGTGGTCCAAAGGGACCGTGTTGTCAATCCTTGTCCCACTTCTGTTTCCAGGAGAAGATGAACAGGATGCGGCAGCGCATTGCTCAGCGCCTGAAGGAGGCCCAGAATACGTGCGCGATGCTGACGACTTTCAATGAGATCGACATGAGGTGAGGTCTTCGGGCCCTCCTTGCTTCCCACCCGCCCTTTTCCCTTGATGAACACTGAAACTTGCCCCACCCAGTTCCTTCCTAATGCTGATTCTAAAACTGACTTGACAGGGAAGAGGTACTTCTTTACATTGCCTTTTGTTGACTGACACAGAATGACCCATTGGTTTCATCTTTTGATTGCCTTTTCAAATGCCATACCTGTCTCCTCTTGACTTGGAAAAACTAGCCTTTCAGAGTTTTATACTTTGAATTTTTGATAAATGAGGCTGGTAAGAGTCTCAAAATCTGATGACTATTGTCAGGGGTGCCAAGCAGAGGGGCAGATAGGCCAACATGTCTCACCCTTGGGCCTCCCTCGGGAAGGAGGACTGCTGATGGCATGCCCAGAACCAGGGCGCTGCACTCAGCTCTGTTCTCGGGGCGAGTACTCCTTGTGTTTGTTCCTAGACAGCTCAGAACCAGGGAGGTAAAGAGCTAGGGGCTTATCATAGCTTTCAGCTTTCCCAGTTTTGATAATGAAATGAAAGCAGGTTGTATTTTTTTGAACAAAATATCAGAATATAAACCAAAGGAACCAAGTCAGTATACCCATTTCTGTAGTGAGGTCATTACTGACCCGCCTGTTTTCTCCTTTAAGATTTTTGATGTGTACAGATATCAGCACTAGGGAAGAAAAGAATGTGGTTAAACCTCACAGACTTTTTTTGAGTACTTACTGTATACAGGATACTAGAACAGTGACTCCAGGTGGATACAAAGGTGAATGAAAAAGAGCCCTTGCCCTCATAGAGTTTACTATCTGGTTAGGACAAACTTACAGTAAAATCCAGAAAAATAAGTATGAAAATAAGAAGGGTGAGACAGTATGAGGTGGGGAAGAGTGACATGGTTTTGATTTGACATGGGACCGAGGTAGGGTGGGTGGGATTAGGAAAGGCTTCTTGGAGAGGAGTGATTGAAATAGACCTTTCCAGGCCAGTCTTTAAAATGACTAGCATGTTCACAGACACAATTGTAGAGAAAGGTCACTCTAGATGGACTAGATAGACATTCTGGTTTGGACTGTGTGACACTGGGACAGAAAAGGTCAAGACATATTTGAAAAATAGTAAAAGATCACTTCTGTGATGAATATGTGTAAGACACAGTGGTAAAGAAGGTTGGATCCATATTTCAGAATGTTTTGAATTCCAGAGGAAGGAGTTGATACTTAATTCAGGAGGTAATACATCAAGTCATCTAGTCATCTTTTTGCTGCTTTTATTTTAGTGTTTAGTGTTTTCCTTTGGGTGGGGGCCTAAAAAGTAGTGAGAAGGGAATGATTTGTTAACTGTGTACTGTGGTGTTTTTCACAGTAGGGCTCTGGCCCATTTCACTGGATGTCTCCCATCCTTTGTGACACTTCTAAAGAGACTGGGTGTCATTCAGGCAAAGATTTCTGTTCTTTCCTCAGGATGTAGGAAAGGACCTTGACTAATGGATCAGAGCGGCTACAGCTTGTATTTCAGTGCATTAGGGCCAAATTGTATACAAATTGAATTGGACTTTGAAATTCTACCCAATTTCTTAAGACAAAACATGTAAATATTTGTGGCCTGGAAAGATGCTGTTGGCCCAACAGCCTTGATTGGAAGTAAGTACAGTAGTTGAATCTCCTTTCACTTGCTAATCGAGGTGCCAGTTAACAACGGGCCAGGGTCTCACTGCAGCCCGCACAGCAGACAGATTTAATCTGGTTTAGATTGAGTGCCCTTTGGGTTTTGTGCCCATCAGCAGACCCATAAGGGGCTCTTCTGAGACCGCCTCCTCTCCCCTGTCGCAGCAGCCCTGCCTCCAGAGCCACAGCTCTGAGAGGACTTAATGAGCAGACAATAGCATTTGGGCAGGTTTGAGAGCAGAGGTCTTTATCACTTCTCCTTCCCTCTTCTGCAGCTCTTGTGTCTTGGGAACCAGTAATGTCTTTAGGGTGGTAATCCTAGTACTAAATAAGGTTAGATTCAGGAAAACAAACATTTAAAACCCAATCAACCCCCTTAGGAAAACTTCCTTTTTCAAAAACAAAAGGTCTGAAGGGGGGAGTTAAAGTTGTACCATATCTTATCTTTCATGCTAATGTCGAATTAGGCCATTACAGGAAGAAAGGGAGAAGTGAACATTTGGGCCTGAAATGAAGTTAAATTTGATTTCCATCCCAGAGCTCTGTTCCGATAAACACCAATGTTTCTGCACATGATGGGAAAGTTGTCCCCCCTCCTCAGCTCTGCAGTGTGTACGTGGAAAAACCAGTTTTGGGGAACAAAGGGTTTTCACCATCCAAAAGTGTCCCAGAAAACCCAGCTGGTTGTACCTTGAAGAGTTTTACCTGAGGAGGCAAGCCTAAGTCTACACATGGCCACTTTTCTAAGGAGCAAGAAACCTGTATCCACTTTACTAATCTTAAGGGCAAAAACTGTGTCTTAATCCTCTTTGCATCTTGGTGTCCAGCACTGACCCTCTCATGGGGCTGTTTGGAACTTGTCTGACACGTGAGCGGATGGAACTGCTAATTTTGGGGAAATGAAGAGTAAGTCTGCTGAGGAGCCTAAAAGAGCTTTGGGCCGCACCCTTCCACGTACAGTCCCCAGGTTACGATGTATCTGAGTTAGGACCTGAGTTACCACAAAAACCGCCCTTGCTTTTGTACATTGCGTCATTAGTAATACGTGCTGTATGTAACATTAGAGTGCATAATCTTTGATGCCATCAGATCTGTAATTTACATGAAATGTTTCCAACCCTCAGAGACAAAGATTGGGTTTATGAAGATACTGATAATAAAAAGCAATAATAACAAAAGCTAAAAAAGCAAAGAAAGAAAAAGAACGAGATATTCAACTTATGCCAGAACTGACTTAAGATGGAGTTGTCGGAACAGAGCCCCCGTCGTGAGGCACTGCCTGCATAGCCCTGACTGCTTTCGTTCACATGGGGCCCATATGCCCGTGGCTTTTTGTCACCGCAGATCAGGAGATAGCAGGCATATCCTAAGTCATACTCAGATTTGGCAGAGTTTTTTGTTTTTGTTTGGTGTTTTTTTAAAAATAATTCTAAAAAGGAATATTGTTTATTTTGTGGGCTTTGTGCACTTTAAAAAAACTTTTTTGCAGGGTACATAGCTTATGATTTTGAAGTCCTTTGGTGGTGCAATGGGAGCTCTGGTAGCATAGTGGCTAAAGGCACTTGACTGCTAACCAGAAGGCTGGCGGTTCAAACCCACCAGCCACTCCTGGGAAGGAAAATGGGGCAATCTACTTCCGTAGTGATACTGCCTCGGAAACCCGAGGAGGGGTCGCTATGAGTCGGGTCCGACTCGACAGCACATAACAACAACAACAACAGGTGATGTAATAAGGAGCACTGGTGGCATAGTGCCCAAGGCATTTGATTGCTAACCAAAAGGCTGGCAGTTCAAACCCACCAGCCACTCATCGGAAGGAAGACTGGACAATCTATTTCCATAGGAATGTTGTTGTTGTTATGTACCGTGGAGTCAGACCTGATTCATAGTGACCCCTCCTTGGGTTTCCAAGGCATTATCACTATGGAAGTAGATTGCCCAGCCTTCCTTCCGAGGAGTGGCTGGTGGGCTTGAACAGCCAGCCTTCTGGTAGGTAGTCAAGTGCCTTCGCCACTATGCCACCAGAGCTCCTTTCCATAGGAATACTGCCTTGGAAACCCAAGGAGAGGTTGCTATGAGTTGAATTGACTTGATGGCCATGAGCTTGTTTTTTTTTTTTTTTTTTTTAAACCAGAAGGCTGGCGGTTCAAACCCACTAGTCTCCCTGTGGATAGAAGATAGGGTGGTCTACTTCTGTAAAGATTTAGCACCTGGAAACCCAACGGGGGTTGCTATGAGTCGGAATCGACTCAATGGCAATGGGTTTGGTTTGGTTTTTGGAGGTGCTGCAATGGGTAAACACTTGATTAACTGAAAGGTTAACAGTTCAAACCAGCCCAGAGGTGTCTCAGAAGACAGGCGGGGCAACCTGTTTCCCAGAGGTCATGGCCCTGGAAGCCCTGTGGCATAGATCTCCACGGCATGCGGGGAGTCGGGGAGTCGCTGTGAGTCAGGATCAGCTCGACAGCAGGTGACAACAGCAGCAGCTCAGGACTTTGGTGCAGCTGAGCATGACTTCCAGGTCCAGGCGGGAACGTTGGTGCACTGTGTGATCTCTTGTTCTCACCATCTGCCCCGGAATCTGACTCTGAAGTTTGTGGAGTCCTGTAAGGGTCCGCCCACCTGAAGGACAGACTGGACCTGATCCTTTTCTATCCGCTCTTTGTGAAGCAAAGCAAAACCTGAGGTTATTGTGTTGACCTCTCATGGACTATTTCAGGACTTGAACTTGGCTAAATGGCCCAGAGTAAGGGAAAGCTTGCTCAGTTATGTACACAGAGTTAAAAACTGGTAGGAAAGTCAAGATCACTGCTTCATTTGTGGTCACTTTGTTTTGTAATCTTATTTTGCAGTAACATTCAGGAGATGAGGGCTCGGCACAAAGATGCTTTTCTGAAGAAACATAATCTCAAGCTAGGCTTCATGTCGGCATTTGTGAAGGCCTCGGCCTTTGCCTTGCAGGAGCAGCCTGTTGTAAATGCAGGTAGGTTGGTTGTGGCCAGAATTGCAGGGGTCCTGGGAGGTAGGTGTTTGGACACAGACTTGGCTCCCACACACAGACACAAAGGTGGGGGTCGACAGACTGAGGCTTCATATTTCATTCCTATGGAGACAGGAATGTCTTCTGTAGAGGTCTTTTGATTTGCCTTCATGTTTGGTGTCCTGAAGTAGCGTGAGGGTTACTGTCTCTCCACTAGCTACACAGAATAGTTTCTCTCCCGTGCACAGCTTGGCAGTCTAGCTCTCCCAGCTGTTGTGTGTCTGGGTGGAAGCTCCCCTCCCTGCTGGCACTCCCTTCCTACCGGCTCTGTTATCTTGGGGCCTGCCTCCTACCCTTGGCAGTCCAGAGTGACCTTTGATCTCTGGTCGATGGGCCTTGTTGGGAGGTGTTGGGCTTGACCCCTCTTTTGTGGACTTGGTCCTCATTTTCCTTACGTCATTGAAGTGTTGACCTAATAAGCTGTTCTTTTTTCCTATTGAGACATTTCTGGAAGATTGGAGAGGGACAGTGACACTTTGCAACTCCCAGCAGTGCCAGGGTTCCTAAAGATCTAGAAATAGAAATCCTAATCCCTTCATTGTATGGTGTGTTCTGGATTGTAGGAGGGCTGTCACATAAATACCCGGAACTACATAACGTGTGTACCATATTTCTCCACACATAATTCACATAAGTACCCGGAACTACATAACGTGTGTGCTATTTGTGTGAAAATACGGTACCTCCTTCTGTTTCCTCCGTGCTTCTCTTGCCTTCCTGATTGGCTCACCCTCCATCTCCACTATTGGCCCCTTCTGCCTGTCCATACATGTAGGCATTTCCTGAAGTTCTCTTGGCCTCTTTCTCAACGTTACATGCTTTTCTTTGGTATCTTGTCTAATATACAACTTAGACTTTGTATCTGTGGCAAAGACTCCCAAATCTGCTAACCTTTTTTTTTTTTCATGAGCCCTATACCTAAATTTTTAGCTACTGGTTTGCTGTCTAAAGCTGGTATATCTAAGCCAGCCCACCCTGCTTCCTCCTAAATCGTCTAGAAGGCAGAGTGGGCACCATCCTCCCCTATTTCCTTTGTTCATTTGCCTTTTCTGGAGTATTTCCTAAACCTAGCCCTTCTCTGCAGAGGGAGTGTTTGAGTAGAGCTGATTAACAAGAACTTGATGTATTTACCTGTCCTGTGTAAGCCCTTCTGATTCTTGTACAGTCAGGTTTGGTCGGGGGACCCAGATCTTCTGATTGCTTTATGGGTATATGAGGAGTGCCAACTACCATTTCTAGTGCCATGGTTTTCACATTGGCTGGTCACCCTACACTGTACCAAGCACTGCAGATTCTTTTTACTCTGTTAATGCAAATAAAACCTTATTAGCCTAACCGTGGGCGGTTGTAAGTAACGTGTTTTCTTTCTCATAGTGATCGACGATGCAACCAAAGAGGTGGTCTATAGGGATTATATTGACATCAGTGTCGCGGTGGCCACCCCACGGGTATGTTGGGGCAGGAGTGGGGAGCTCTGGGCTTGAACCCTCACCAGCTCTGTGTGAAGAAGCAGATCTCGGGGAGAGATGACTTCTGTAACTCTTTTTAGAAGGGAGCTGGTGAAAGAATAACCTCTTTTTTGACCTTACCATAATTGTTTTTATTTTAGCTTCAGGCCTAAATATTTTAAACCTTCTGATAACCTCATTTACTAATTGGCGGTCTTCTGAGGAGGCAAGAACATTGGCTCAAATCAATGAAATATATCTGTAGAAGGTACTATTTGCAACTGAGACCAACTTTTCACTCCCTTCAGGGCCTGGTAGTTCCCGTCATCAGGAACGTGGAAGTTATGAATTTTGCAGATATTGAGCGAACCATCAGTGAGCTGGGAGAGAAGGTACAGTGTTAGGATGCACATGTATGAGCTGTGGGGCAGGTCAGGGAAGAGGGCTGGGGAGGCAGGGCTCACCAGCAAGCAGTGCTCAAGAAACTAGAGCCTCACTTGGTACCATAAGAAGTTAACGACCAGGAAGGACGAAGTGAAGATCGCTGGCAGCTTGGTTGGCTTAATATTTCACTTACGAAATCTGTTTCCAGGCCCGAAAGAATGAACTTGCCATTGAAGATATGGATGGTGGCACTTTTACCATTAGCAATGGCGGTGTTTTCGGCTCACTCTTTGGAACACCCATTATCAACCCCCCTCAGTCTGCCATCCTGGGCATGCACGCCATCTTTGATAGGCCAGTGGCTGTGGGAGGCAAGGTAGGAATTGTTACCTCTAAGATTCTGGGTGTTAGGTGATGGTGGGAGGAAGGCTTAATCTAAATGCTAATTACAAGAGATTCACTGTAATTTCTGTTCCACTTCTTAGTTTCTAATTAATAGCTAAAACACAGGGTCTCAAAATGTGGTCTGTTTCAGCTAAACAATGGACAGGCCTAGAAGATGAACAGTAACACCAGGGAGGTATGCACTCCTTAGAATAATCAACCTTCCTAGATCAAAAGGGGAGCTCTGGTAGCATAGTGGCTAAGACACTTGCCTGCTAACCAGACGGCTGGCGGTTCAAACCCCCACCAGCCACTCCTCGGAAGGAAGGTTGGGCAGTCCTACTTCCGTAGTGATACTGCCTCGGAAACCCAAGGAGGGGTCGCTATGAGTTGGGTTTGACTCGACGGCACATAACAACAACAACAACAACAAGATCAAAAGGGCAGCACGTGCCCAGGGATAAGCTCCAACGGCAGGAAGAAGCAGGAAAAAGATGGGTGAAGGGAGATGTCAAGCACGGGGAAGAAGCGGGGAGAGTGCTGTTAAATCGTGGGGATTGCAATCAGTGTCACAAAACAGTGTGCATGAATTGTCGAACGGAGAACTCAGTTTGCTCTGTAAACTTTCACCCAAATCACAGTTTAAAAAAAGGTCTTCTCTGGATGTGCGTCATCAGTTAGAAATGCAGATTCTTGGGCCCCGCCCAAGATGTGCTGAATCAGAAACTGCAGGTGATCTGATGCCCATGAGAGTGTGAGACCCACTGGGCTGAGAACCAGCCACCCAATACTCACTGAATGAAGTTGCTAACTCTCTGGAGGTGCCCCAGGGGAAGACCAGCTCCTTGCCCCTGGGAAGCAGAGAGGACAGTGCAAAGCAGTGGATGGCTGCCTCCTTGCATGGCGAGGTGTCTGGGAGTTCAGAGACTCAGATCAGAGGGTGGGAGCTGGCCCTTGGGGGTCAGTAAGAACAGCAAGCTTTCTGAGACTCCTATGTTAAGAGCTTTTGGGGTCTTAACTATTCTGTGAATCTGAACACTGTGGATCTTTTTCCCTGAAAATGCCCACATACCCAGCATTGCATACAATTTCAGAGAATTGGTGGACTGTAGGTTGAAAACAAACTATTTAAATTATAAACCCAAAGCAGCTCCTCCAAGTAGCCAGAAGTGAAGGGAAATCCGACCTGTAGATCACAGTTGAGGAAGAGGGCAGAGTGTATAAGAAAGTCAGTAGTGAGGGACTCCTGTTTTCTTGGTTAAGCTCTGTGTCTGAGTTGAGGAGATTTGCATGAAGGGTAGGTAGGGCTTGGTCTTTGAAAATACAGTAATTATTCAGAGACATTCAGAAATGACTTCAGTAGGAAAGACTGGAACTGGGACCTTTCTTATGAGTCATGCTTTGTCCCCCCCGTCCCCACAGTAGTGGTGGGCCATTCTCAGACCTGTTGTCAATAAGCCCGTTGACCTCTTCTCTGCAGGTGGAGGTGCGACCCATGATGTACGTGGCACTGACCTATGATCACCGGCTGATTGATGGCAGAGAGGCAGTGACTTTCCTCCGCAAAATCAAGGCAGCGGTAGAGGATCCCAGAGTCCTCCTACTGGACCTTTAGGAAGAAACCCCACGTGCTCCAGTTCAACCATGCAGGGACTGAGAATCGGCCTTCTCCCTGCCCCCTCCCAAGTCCTGGGTTAGCCTGCTGGCAGACAGCACACGCTGTTGGCCTCAAGCAGGGAGCCGGGGCACTATGTAACCAGCAGTCGCGGGTCTTTTTGGTGTTCCTGCCAGGCTTCCTCCCTCTCTGCACCCACCTCTTAGACCTTATTCCCTGAGGCTTGAGAGAGAATCTTGAAGGATGCTCATTAGTCCTGCTCTCCTTCCAGCCGCCCTCCTTCCAGCCGCCCTCCACTGAGATGGATTTCCTTCTTCCCAGTGCCAGTAGATAATAGGGAAACCACCACAGGATTCTTAAGTTTCTGTCTTGTCCACTCTGCAGAGACAGCCTCGGGGGCTGCCAGGCCTCCCCAGCTCAGAGCAGCCTCTGCCCTGACTGCACGTCCTCACTAGGTTCCGCTGTGTGAGGTACTGAACGCCGGGCAGGTGCTGCTTTCCTGCTTGGCTGGCACCTTCATTCTCAGCTTTCATTGACTTCAAGATGCCTCTTCTACCTCTTCCGGGAAGGACAGGCCAGGGACTATAGGTTGGAGAGGGGTGCAGGGTCAGTGGGAAAGGAGAGGGCAGATTCCTCCTAAGGTGGTTCGTGTGTTGTAAACATAAACAGTAGAGGAACCTGGACCCTGCCATTGCACCGGGAAGACCCATTTTGACAACTACACACAGCTGTGGCAATGCCAGCCCTTTACAAACCCTTCCCAGGCCTGCTGATTGCTAGAACCCATTCTAGCACGTTGTTCTCATGTAGAGCAGATTCCAGTACATCATGGCAGTGGGCCAGAGCATGGTCACAACCAAGGGCTAGAGCTGGGTGGGGGTGGGGGGTATTGTGGACTGGCTCAGGTTGATTGGAGCTTTTAAATGAAGCCTATGTAAACACGTGGGTTTCGGGCAGTTCTGGTCCTGCACCGGAGCCTTTGGGGAGCAGGGCCTTGGCAGCAATTCCTCTGCAGGATACAGATCTGGAGGAAGATGGACTGTGGTGGAAACCAGCCCCAAGCTGTGGTGAACGGCCGATGTCATCTCTGAGGGTACTGCCCCCTGGGTCTGGGCACAATCATTGAAATTCCACGGAACTTGGTGAAATGCACATATCTTGTGAAGGCTACTGGGCTTCTGTTGCTTTGTATCCAACTGCATCCAGGCCTGAGACTGTTGACCCTTGACACACGGGGGCCGTTTATTTAGTGCAGAGCACCCACTTGTATCTTGAGCAAAGAAGCAGGGCCTGAGGCGGGGGGAGGGGGGAGCAATACTGAGTGCCTGCATCATCTATTATGTCTTCACTATTCAGAACTTGTAACTAAAATATTTAAAGAAACTGATTTTAAACGGAAATTAAAGGGCAAATGTTCTCAAACGGTTCCTGTTTCTGGGCTTTTGGTTACTGTGGTCGTGCAGGTCTCCACCCCTTGACACCATGGCTATAATTAGCATTGAAAGCCACCAAGTGTCCCATTGGTTATCCTGTGATACCCCATTCTTTTGAAATAACTGTGTACAAGGATCTCCAACTGTCTGGCTAGCCAGAAAAGCACAGTGATCTTGTAGTACCTCAGCGTCCTGGTCGGCTCCTTAAACTTGACACGCTCCATTCTTGAGGCAAAATTAGGGTTCCACCTTTGTGAAGTCCCTTCAATAACACCACTTTTGTAGGAACCTACATCGTTTTGGGGAGGGATTGAGGGCATATCAGGGTTTAGTATTTTGGATTTTACTGCCACATGTGCACCAAGTTGCTCAAGGTCATTGAAGACCAATGAGGGTGGATCACTTCCTAGGAGCAGTGGTTTGTGTGTGTGAGGAGACGGCTGACAGGTAACCCAGACTCACTGCAGGTGACAGGCATGATGGAGCTGAAGTTAAACAGCTTTGACTTCACAAGTGCCAGTTGACTGATAGTGCCTGCAGCGAGGCCATTCCTATACAAAGGTTTGTCACAGGAAGAAAGTGAGTCCCAGAGGGTAGAACTAGCTAGAAGGTAGGAAACAACTTGAGGGTTCAGTGAGAGGGAGAATTTCTTAATTATCTGACCATCAAGTCCAGGCCATACTGCTAGAAGCTTTAAATTTTCCAATTAACCTGCAAAGTAGGTGGTATTTGTACGTTTTATCAAAAGGAGGTCAACTGTAAGCCCTGTGAGGGTAATCCCCGAGTCTAACAAAGGGCCAGACATGCAGTGCATTAGATGGAATACTTAAGGAGCTCTGGTAGCAAAGTGCCTAAGGCACTTGACTGCTAACCAGAAGGCTGGCAGTTCAAACCCACCAGCCACTCCTCGGAAGGAAGGTTGGGCAATCCTACTTCCGTAGTGATACTGCCTCGGAAACCCAAGGAGGGGTCACTATGAGTCGGGGCCGACTCCACGGCAAATAACAACAACAACATAGGTGAGGCTCAGTGGTGGCAAGGCCCAGCTCATGCTTTGTGATTGGTGGTTGGAGATGGTGTAACCAACTTCACCAGGCTCTGCCCCATCCTGTCATTTCACCTCTTTGAGGCTCAGTTTCCTTAGGATCTGTCTCATGAGTTGCTGTGAGGATCAAACTAGTGTTCCCCACCCCACCCCAACCTTGACCCTCTTTCAAGTCTCCTTTCTTCTGTTTGATTTCCCACAGCCCACTGCCCCCAACAGGCCACCACTTCCCTTCGGGTCTGAGGCAGCCCTGCTGGGTGTGCACGCTGACTCTGACTCGCTTCCTACTTCCTTGTAGGCCCCAAGCTTGCACGTGCCTATCACAGCTGCTCTGGGGGAGCCTTCCAATCTCCCCTTTACTGCAGAACAGCTCCTGTCATGTTGATGAGGCAAGGACACCATAGGCTACAGCAGGTTTTATTTTGTGAGGAGGCGGGAGCACAGGGTCAGGCCAGCCAGCACCGCACCGAGGACCAGAGACTCATACACAGGTGTGTGCTCCTGTGTCCTCTCTGCCCCACAGTTGGCCTGGGGAGCATGGGGGCCTCCTCATTTTCAGAGTTTAAGTTGGGCTTTCACAGCCAGACTGGAGAACAGTGTGGAAGGTGCTCTAGGCACTGGCGGGAAGAAGCTGGAATGAGGTCTTGGGGTTGCTGACTTAGATGCCATGCCCCCAGTGACTGGAAGAGTCATTGGGAAAGGAGATGAGCAGAAGAAGAGGGCTCCCAAACCAGGGGGGTTGTCTTTGGGTAACTACTTATTCCCAGCTCTTCAGAGACAGGAACCATCTGGCTTCTGGCTAAAAGCTTGAGCAGTGCTGCTTCGTGTTTTGTGATTTCTCATTCCAAAGGAGGATAGAGTAAGAGTGAGCACTGAATTGAGAGGAACCTCAAGACCAAATGCAAAAGAGTAAACAGGATGAATGCCCCAGAGGGGTGTCATCACAGGCACAGCCGGTCTTAGCTGCCTGAGCCTGGAGGCTGCAGAGCCTGGAGCCTGGAGGTGTCCACACCCGTGGGCCAGCTGAGGAAGGGATCTCGATTCTGTCTCCTATTTGCTGTGTCAGAGCTGTGCATTCCTCCATCCCATTCCTCCTCCAGTTACTTTCCTGTCCCCACCCCTTCCTTATGCTCTCCAAAGTCTAAAATCACAAGGTGGAGGACATGGTCGGGAATGGGGAGAGTGGATCCCCTATCTGCACCTTGCTCCCCAACGCACTGCAGATGCGCTGCCTGCCCAGCTCCCGCGGGAAGCACCTCTGGCTGAAGAGGCCCACTGGTTGCACGGCCAAGATGCCCAGCCAGGATGGTCCACTGAACCAGTGCGTCAGTGTCCCGAGTTCCCAGAAATGTCCCATTTGGGGCACAGATGGTGAATGGGTGAGTCAGTAGTTACAGTTAATGTGACAGAAGGCACCCTTTAGCACACTGATCCAGGCCTAGCATGGGACCTGGTGCAGGGCATGCACTCCGTGGGGTATCTGTTGACCAATGGGTGGAAGGATGGATGGGTGGCAGGGTCTCGCCTGCTTAAGGGGTGAGCGCTTACTGCCTCTCCCCCTTGGGCTTAGAAAGGGCCTCTCCAGGAGCTGGCTGGGGGACTCCCAAAGTCCCTTCTTGGGCAGTGGCCCCAAAGAGGCCCGGAGATAATTCTGAGGCCCGAAGGAGAGGGTTGTATGGGAAAGGCGGCCACCCACATTCTGTGCCTGAGGTCCATTGATGAGCCAGCCTGGTGACAGGCCGAGAGGAGAGGAGATGGAGACCAGGCCCATGCTTCTGTCGTCCTCTCCACCCCTTCTACCCCACCAGTTTGCTCCACTGGATAGTACTGAAAAAGGGGTGCGATTTGAGTTTGCTGACACCACCACCTCCAGTGCCGAGGCGCCGGCTGGGATCAAACTGCAGCAGCTGCGGAGAAAGACCTGGGTCAGCGCTTGGGGCAGCCTCTCCCTCCCCCCACCACTGCCACTGTCTCCAAGGCACAGGCCAACTTCCAAGGACTCTAATCACTATGGCCAGCAGTGTGTGTGTGTGGGTGCTATTTCCCACCAGTCCCAACCCACAGAGCCCCCAGTTTTATCCTGGGGAACAGTTGGTGGTGTTTGGCCATCAAAATATAGAAAAATTGTCCCTGTACCTTCCTGTACCCACATCAGACATCTAGTACACAGGGCAGCCTGTCCACACACAGGCCTCTGCCCTCCCAGCACCCACCTCCTCTAGGATGGCTACCCCTTACCTCAGTTAGCAGGGAGGCTGCAGGGCGGCTGAGCCACTCGGGCAGCTGGAGCTGGGTGTGGGCCTGGATTTTCGAGGGGTGGCTCTGGGACAGTGCCTTGGAAGACACAAGGAGAGTGTCTGAGGAGGCAACCCAGGACTGTGCATACACTCAGACACGCCACCAGGACTGCGCGTACACTCAGACACACCACCAGGACTGTGCGTACAGTCAGACACGCCAGTGGTAGCCAGGATTTCACGTCTTCCTGTGTCACCTCCACTGGGATGATGATGGTGGTGGTGATGATGTTGAAGTGGCCTTTTAAGATCTACTGTATGCCAGATGGGCCCTCTGGTGGCGTAGTGCCTAAGGCATTTGACTGCTAACCAGAAGGCTGGCAGTTCAAACCCACCAGCCACTCCTCGGAAGGAAAACCAGGCAACTTACTTCTGTAGAGATTTACCACCTCGGAAACCCAACTGGGGTTGCTATGAGTCGGAATCACAATGCAGTGAGTTTGGTATGCCAGACACTATGCTAGGTGTGTGATAGATTATCCTTAATTTCCACAACCCTGAAGGTTAAGTATTGTTGTTATGTGCCGTCGAGTCGGACCTGACTCATAGCGACCCCTCCTTGGGTTTTCGAGGCAGTATCATTACGGAAGTAGATTGCTCAACCTTCCTTCCCAGGAGTGGCTGTTGGATTTGAACCACCAGCCTTCGGTTAGCAGTCAAGTGCCTTAGGCACTATGCTACCAGAGCTCCTTAAGGTTAAGTATTAGTATCCTCATTTTAAAGACAAGAACTGGACTCCTGTACACTGTGCAGAGCTGAGGGTTTGCGGGTTTGAACGCAAGGCCCTCTGGCTCCAAGCTTGCTGGAAACAAGCACCAATCCTGGGCTGCAAACAGGGAACATCACTGGAATCTGTCTCCTATGAAAAAGAAATCTCCACGGGCTATGCGTTTGACTGAGGTCCATGGCCACAGTCAGGGAGGACCACGGCAGGGCAGTGGAGAGAAGAAAGCAGAATCCGCCCACACCCCAGGAAGGAGTAGCTTTGGGCACAGAGAGCTTTGTCTGGAGACAGATGTGAGCTGCAAGAAATTTCAGTAAGGAAGGCCGGGAGCCCTAGGCCAGAGGGTGGGAGACCCGAGACGGGACGAGAGAACCACCCTGAGAACATTTGTACTCTCAGAGGTCCTGGGCTATAGGGTGAAAGCAGTTACTCGAGGAGGGAGCCAGGATGGACTGCTCCGATCTGGACATCCGGTCACTCTGCTTCCTTCCAGCCATTTCCTGCTCAAAGGCAGTTTGGCCTCTCCCCTGCTGCTTAATGTAACCAGCCCAGGAGCTGAGCTCAGTTGGGGAAGAGGGACAGCTCTAAGACCGCCACCCTGTTTGGATGTTTGCAGGGGTGTTTGCAAGGGGGAACCCCCGGCTCTTGGCGGATCCAGGCTGGGCAGCTGCTGACCTGCATGAACAAGCACCTCTCCCCAGCTGTCCAACTTTGGGGTCTGTGGTTATAGCCCCAAAGAACATGGGTGAGGGGAGTGAGCAGTGTGGAAAGGCTGAAGGGATAATCCAGTGACCCTCCAAGGAAGAAGGCTGAGTCAAATCCCACACCTAGCCTTCCTCCAAGCCTCACCCCAGGCCAACTCTTCCAGAAACTTCCTGACCATCCCAACTTAACTCTCATTCATGTAAGTTTGACAGTCTCATTAATTAGTAGTCAGTAGTGTGTGTGTGTGTGTGTGTGTGTGTGTGTGTGTGTGTGTAGCATGTTCATGGCCAGGTGGGGTGACTTCCTGTATCTCTCATGGTCTGTGGGGGTGGCAGGGAGGGAGGACAGCTGTGCTGGTAGGACATCCAGCCCAGTTGCCATGCAGCCGCAGCCCAGATACCCACCCAGCTCTTCATACTGCCCAGCAACTTACCGTTCCTGTCAGTAATTCATACAGCAGAGACCCAAAGCTCCACCAGTCACAGGCTTCAGTCAGCTCAGAAATCCCCCCCACCTCTGTGGGAACAAGAACACACCCATCTATGTCCCACCCTCGCCAAGAGAATGGGTCTCCATTCTCTACACCCTGCCCACACACCTGCCCATCCCCTCGGTCATCCTCAGCCTCCAGGCCCAACCCACACAGGGCCCCCCATCTTGCCTGGGGCACTGTACAGGTTGTCCACTGCCTCCCTGCAGCACTGGGGCTCCACTTCTGACCACTGGCCAAAATACGTGAGCCGGAGGTGGCCTTCCCGTCCAGTACGGGGGGTGAGGAACAAGGCGGAGCAAGAATTGAGGTTAGCCATCACTGAGTGGCTGGCATGGGGGACTGGGACTCCAGGGCTCCCCACATCCCAGTCATAAGGCAGGGCCCCCCTGTGGACAGGCATGGCCCCCTGAGGCCTGGAGACCCACGGACATTGCTGGGGGCTGCTGCCCTAGACTCATGGTTCTACAAGCTCAACCTCAGCCAACCAGCCTCTGGTCTAGTGTCCTATGTCAAATGACTGGATAGGACAGGAGTGCAAAGCAGATAACCTCTGCGGTCCCCTTGGCTGAGGGGTAGGGTAGGGTGGGACAGCCTACTCCCCTCTCTGACCCCCTGGCCCAGGCACTTACCTGACTGGTCCAGGAGCAGGTTTCGGGGGTTGAGGTCCCGGCAAAGCACCCCCTGCTCGTGCAACGCCTCCAGTGCCACCAGCATCTCGGCCCCCCATTGCTTCACCTGCTCCTCTCTCACCCTCCAGGCACCCCCACCAGACCCCAGAGCAGTCCCATCCACCAAGGGGCGGCTGGGAGCCCGGCCTCGGCCATAGCCTCCCAGCACCCGGCCAGCTCCCTCGTGAACCCAAGGGAGCCCCCAAGGGGGCCTGGTATCCAAGCTCTGGCGAGGTTCACGCCTGGCTTGAAAGTGCACATGGCCACCCGAGGCCTTTGGCAGGTCCAAGGAGTGGGAAGCCCAGGTCCTGGCTGCGAGTTCGCCTTCAGCTTCCTTGGCTTGGGGAGGGCTCTGAGAAGTCCTCGGAGGTTCCAGGGGTACTCTGTCCTGCTGCTGGGGGTGGCCAAAGGGGCGCAACGTTGGGCTCCGAGGGCAGAGGTGAGAGTGGAGAGGAGACTTTGTGCTCTCCTGGGTGGAGCTGGACTGCTGAGGGTGCGGCTGGGAGAGCAGGTGGGACCAGAGAGTACCTCCTGGGCCATGCAGAAGGAGCGGGGAGCATGGGGACAGGGAAGAAGAGCATGGACACTGGGTCCCTGTCCCACTGTCACCTCCCCTCTGCCTTCCAGGCGTCCCAGCCGAGCTCAGCCCCCTCACCTCGGCTTCCTCCATTGTTGGGCCCAGCCTGCCCTCTGCTCTCCTCCACTTGTTACTGTTGGGTTTTGTCAAGTTGATTTCTATTCACAGAGACCCATGTGACAGAGTGGAAATCCCCATAGGCCTCCTCAGAGCCCTCCCCCAGGTGCAGGTTTTTAAAATCTTTATGAGCAATGACTTTGTGACAACCATTGTGAGAATGGCACAGGACTGGGCAGTGTTTCGTTCTGATGTACATTTGGTCGCTATGACAGCACCTAATAACCTAACAGCAACAATATTTACTGGAGCAGTTCGCAGGGGCCTTCTCCTGTGGAGCCACTGGGTGGGTTCGAACCACCAACCTTTCAGTTAGCAGCTAACCATTTAATGCTTGCACCATCAGGGCTCCTCCCCTCTCCAGTTACCCAGCCTCAAACCATTTCCTAACACTTCCTGAATGCCAGCCCTAGGCTAAGAGCTGGGGACAGAGGAGACCACAGCTGGGAGACAGATGGTGGCAGGATCCTGAGAGATCTATACAGAACAGAGTGACGCAGCACTCCTCCAGGGCACAGCCCTGGAGCACTCTCTTTCCTGGGCCCACTTGTCATGCCTTTGATTTCTTCCTTCTTCCTCTGTTCAACTACAGCTTACTGAGCACTTACTATATACGTCACCGTGCTAAACCCAAACCAAAACACCAGCTGCATGCAGTTGACTCTGACTCATGGTGACCCCGTGGGTGTCCGAGCAGAACCGTGCTCCACAGGGCTTTCAACGGCTGATTTTTCAGAAGTAGATCACCAGGTCTTTCTTCCGAGGCACCTTCAAGAGGACTCAAAGCTGAGCATGTTAAGCATTTGCACCACCCATGGACTCCATCACTCTATTAGGTAATTCCTGCCATTACAGCTCAGTCACCACCATCCCATGTTCCCACTCTGAAGAGTAAAAGCAAAATGTAAACGGATCCGAGTGGAGGAAATGGTGACAATGTCCCATCTGCATACGTGCCCTCTCACCTCCCCTAGGGTAGGGACAGCCTCCCCAGGGTGACTCTGCCCCCTTGTCCCCACACAGACCCCACAATGGCCAGATCCTCTCAGTCATCCTCCAGCCGGTCTATGCTGCCCCTCGGTAGAAGCCATGCCCCTGCCCAGGGCTCAGCATTTTTAAAGGGACAAGTGAGAACAACACTCTAACGGCCCCACGGGCTGCCAGACTCCTCAGGCCCCCTCACCTTGCACATGCTCCAGGTGCAAGAAGATGGAGTCCTCACTCACAAAGTACCGTAGCAGCTTCGTCATGTAGGGGACACCGTGCGGGATGATGGTCAGTCTCTCCCGGCTCGCCACATGACACCTGGGCAGGCTCTGGGGAGGTGGCAGGACAGGCAGGTCAGCTGGGGACAGGCTAGTGGCTGCTGCTAGGGAACGTCCTAACCCTGGCTTCAAGGGCAACTGGATGAGAGGTGGGAGCCACTTTGAGAAGCAACCGCCTCCCCCAGGTCCTGACCTGGGTCCTCACCCCCACTGCCCCGCGGAAGCAGGCCCTGCCACCCTCCTGGCCATATGGAGTCCGCCTGGGAGGCAGCGGACGTTTTAACATGCAGCTTCGGGATTTGGAGGAAAGCGTGGCCTTCAGATGCAGGTTCTGGGTGGGGTGTCTCCAGAGGGTGGAAGTTTCCAGGAGCTCTGAGAAAGGCACAAGAGGAATGCGGAATGGTGGGGGGCTGGGTGGCACCTGCCTTCACCACGAAGGTCCCGCCAGTTGCTGGGTCCTGGACCAGCTGCACCTGCCAAGGTCCAGGGGCCACCGGTCAAGGGACATGCTCATTCCTGGGTCTCCACAGTTCCAACCCCAGCCTCCAGCTTCCTCTGACCCACTCCAGGGCCCGGGTAGGAAGGGCAGGCTTGTAGACAGTGTGACCGTCCCAAATGCCATGCACTCCATCCTGCTAAACCTACAGGTCTCAGCTCACATGCCACCTTCTCCAGGGAGCCTTCCCAACCCTCAGATCAGGCTAGGGGCCCCAGTCTCTCTCCAGTGCTCTCTGGGCTCACGCTTTGTTTTGCTAGCTGCTGTGGAGTCGGCCCTGACTCAGCAACGCTGTGCACAATGGGATCAGGCCGTGGTGCTCCACAGGGTTTCCACTGGCTAATTCTTGGACGGAGGTCTCCAGGCCTTTCCTCTGACTCTGCCTCAGTCTGAAAGCTCCGCTGAAACCTGTCCAACATCACAGCAACACTCAAGCCTCTCCTGACGGGTGCGTGGTGGTTGTGTATGAGGTGCATCAAACCTGGGGAATGGGACCTGGGCCTCCTGCTTGGAAGTCGAGAGTTCTGCCACCCTACCTGTGTGCTGTGAAGTCGATTTTGCAGAACTGCCCCACAGGGTTGGTGGTTCAAACCCCCCAGCCACTCCCCAGAAGGAAGATGGGGCAATCTACTTCTGTAAAGATTTACTGCCTTTATGGGAGCAGACTGCCAGGTCTCTTCTCCTATGAAGCCGCCAGGGCTAACCTTTGGATTGGTAACTGAATGTTTACCATTGTATCACCAGGGTTCCTGCAGCCACCCGTAGAGGAGGTTTATCACACTGTGTGTAATCTCCTGACTCCTCACTGCACTGTGAGCTCCATCAGGGCAGGGGCTGCACTGCCCAGCTCATTCTCAGAGCCTTGCTCCGAGCAGGGCATGTGCTGGGTGCTTCACACCGGTGTGGTGAATGGTTTCAGACCCTCAGCTACCCAAACGAACAGAACCAAATCAAACTCCAAACTCACTGCTATCAAGTTGATTCTGAACCACAGCCACCCCCATCAGGTTTTGAAGGCTGTAAATACGGAAGCGGACTGCCTCATTTTTCTTCTGCAGAGCAGCTGATGGGTTTGAACCACCAACCTTTAGGTTAGCAGCCAAATGCCTTAATCGCTATACTACTAGAGCTCCTTAAATGAGCAGAAAGTGGTGCTATATACCCCTTTCTTGCTCCCTGCCCATGCCTGGGAGGCCTCTCCCACCTGGGCCCTCACCTAAGGCCCCCAGTCAGAGCCTATGACACCATCCTGCAGGGTCTGAGGGTGCCACAGCCAGAAGGAACCTCAGTCCCTTCCTCTGATGTCTGTCTAGAAGTGATGAGGCTGAGGGCCTGAGAGTGTGGAGGAGCTATGCCAGGAGGGACAGGCATGCTCCTTCCGTCTCATCCCCTGCCTGCCCACCCCCTTCTTTTGAATAAAGTTTTCACCTCTAGACATTGTCTTGAGAAATTAGGCCTTTTCTTCCCACGTTGGTTGTAGTTAGAGGCAGCTAATCTGGGTCAGGGCCGTCCTTGGAGTTGAGCCCCTGACTCATGTCTGGGGAGGCAGGGGTAGTAGCCATAAGGGGGCAGGCCAGGCACAGGAACAGGAAGGCAGAGGACTCAGCTCCGAGCAGGGGCACTCGGGGACCCAAGAGCAGCACCCTGGGGCAGACAGTCCCCAGGAAAGGCCCTGGCCCGGCCTGGCCTGCGTGTGTGTGGAGGGGTGAGAGCCAAGCCTTGAGGCCAGCCCTCTGGGCAGTGGTGACTGCTGCCTGGGAGTCAAGGAAAGGGCACTGCATCTGGACCTCAAGGGAGCCACTTGCCAGCTCTGAGCCTCTGTTTTCTCACCTATAGACAGGAATTTAAGTTGCCCACCTTGCCTTTATCACTGGTTTACTGAGGCCACAGCTGGGAAGGCGCTTTGTGAATTGTAAAGGCAGAGAATGTTCGCTATCACATTTGTCAGGTTACGGGGCATCTCTCCACCTTGCTCTTCCTAACCTTAAAATGGGGTCCTAGCAGTACCAGCTTCCGAGTTCATCTGTTGCTGTTAGTTGCGGTCAAGTTGATCTCGTGTGCAGAGTCGGACTGCTCCACGGGGCCTGCAAGGCTGTGACCTCCCAGACACGGATCACCAGACCTGTCTTCTGAGGTACCTCTGGGTGGCTTCGAACCAGCAACCTGGCAGCTAGTAGTTGAGCGCATAACTGATGACGCCATCCAGGGACTTCCCTCAGAGGCAGTCAAGTTGATCAAGTTGATGCCCACTCATAACAGCCCTATGGGACACAGTAGAACTACCCCATAGGTTTCCTAGGCTGAAATCTTTACTGGACCTAATCACTAGGTCTTTTCTCCTACAGAGTAGCTGGTGGACTCAAACCACCAACCTTAACCATTGTGCCCCCAGGGCTCCTCAAAGATCATTCTCAAACTCACTGCCATCAGTCGTTTCAGACTCAAAGTGACCCCTCCTTCATTTCCAAGGCGGTATCTCTATGGAAGCAGATAGTCTGATCTTCCTTCTGAGGAGTGTCTGGTGGGTTTGAACCATCAGCCTTCTGGTTAGCAGTCAAATACCTTAGGCACTACACCGCTCCCTCAGAGATAATCAGGAGGATTCTACCAAAGTAGACAAGGAGCTCTGGTAAAGTAGTGCCTAAGGCACTTGACTGCTAACCAGAAGCCTGGTGGTTCAAACCCACCAGCCTACCCATGGAAGCAACACTGGGCAATTTACTGCTATAACTGACACGATGGCAGTGAGTTCGGTTTGGGTTTTTGTTAAAGCTGACAATTTGAGCAAAACTGTAACCTGTGCCTGCCACAACCTAACATGCCCTCAATAATCTGCAGCAGTGATCGTTCATATTAACAATGGCAAAACTGCGCCCTTGCTATGGAGCTCCCACTCTGTGCCAAACAACTTACGTGGATTATTTAATTTCATTCTCACAACCTACCAGGTGAGTGTAAAATTAGTAACTCATTCTATTGATAAATAAATTGAGATTCAGAGGGGTTTTAGGTTTCCTATGATCCCACCACTGAAAGGTAGCAGAGCCAGGATTTGAACGAGGCCGGCTGATTCCAGAGCCTGATTCCAGAGCACTGCAGACTTAGCTGTAGCTGGGGTTGCAGCTAGGTAAGCTTGGTAAGTGCCATCCCCTCTGAGCCTCAGTTTTCCCATCAGCAAAACGAAGGCAGAGGACTTGGTGACTGCCTGGGACTTGTAACACAGCAGGAGTGAGGCCTCCCTTCTGGCCACCAGGGGTCTCTCCTCTAACAGCTTAGGCCGAGCCTCGGCCCCAGGCCCAATTTGAGCAATATTTGCAAAAGAAAGGAAGAAAACTCTGGGGACATTTAGGCGAACAGAGTTTCCCACAATCCTGACACCTCGAATAATTCTCCACTGTCTTTGCCAAGTGGGGTTTTCCCACCACCCTGTCCTTGGGGAAGGCCTTCTAGTTTCCAGAGCCTAAAAAAACTAGCAGTGAAAGCTGGAGCTGGATACAAAACTCGATCTATAGACTGGTAACAACCATGTTTAAAAATACTACTAAAATCTACTTGTCTGTCCTGAGAGAACTAGGAAAACACATCACCAATGACCATCTTTGAGTTCCGACTCAAAGCGACCCACGGGGCAGAGAGGAACTGCCTCATAGGGTTTTCCTGGCTGTAACTCTAGGGGACAGTTCTACTCTGTCCTACAGTGTCTGACTCAGCAGCAGTGGGTTTGGTTGTTTTGTTTGTTTTTATCACGGAAGCAGTGCGCCAGGTCTGTCTTCCATGTTGCTGCTCGGTATGTTCAAGCCACCAGCTTTTCCGTTAGCAGCCACGTGCCTAACCGACACTCAACAACACAGCAGCCTCCAGAGTTAGGTAGGAGGGTGGTATTTTGTCTTATTTCCTCTGTTACACTCCTGTGTCTTTCAGTATATTTCAAAAGGGTCGCAGAGGGTGCATTTTTCTATTAAACCAACCGACCAAACAAACAAACAAAAACCCTCTAATTGCTAGTTAGTCACTTGATCTATATGAACCTCAGTTTCACCATCTGTAAAACAATTATTAAAACGCAGTGCTTCCAACAGAACTTTCTGCCACGATGGGAATGTTGTACATCTGAGCTGTCCAACGCGGAAGCATCAGCCACATGTGGCAGTCGGGCACCTGAAATGCGGCTGGTGGGACTGAGAAGCGGAATACTTAATTTAAACTAAAATAATCTCATGTGGCTAATGGCTACCATTCTGGGCTTTTTCCCCAGGTAACTGTGTGGATTTAAAGGAATAGCTTTGCAAACAAGAAAGTACTTTAGGAATGTCAGGTAAGCATTACTACTGGGGAGGATGGGAAGGCATTTCTGGGTCCAAGGAAATCTTTTTACAAAAAAAGAAATCCAACTGAGTTCTTAGGACCCAGAGATAATGAAAGCTTTGGGGAAACACAGTAAACCCTTTCTTTTCAGGAGCCCCAGTAGGAATCTCTCATGGAGCAGAAAGTTTCAGCCAGGTCCTCAAACTCCAAGGCCCACTGGGGTGGGATATGTGAGGAGGTAGCCTGGGTGGGCGGGGACAGTAGGAAATGCCGGACCTCCTCTGAGCTGTGCTGCCAACAGGCCCAATCTGATTTTTCAAGCACAGCAGGAAATCTGGACTTTTATATGAAATCTGCCAACTTTTAAAAGTTGTTAACTAATAAACAAACAAAAAATACCCAAATAAATCAAGCATGTGGCCCACGCTGAATTCAGCTGGGACATGGGGTAGGGGTGGGGCTGTCAGTTACAATCTCTGATTTAAACACCCCTCTAAATGACTTGGATGATCTTTCCCTCCCCAGAGCCTGGCTCCTGGATGAAGTTCGAAGTTTGGCAAACATCTGGTGATGCCCCCCAGACCCCCACACTCCCTGAGCGTTGACCCTTGGTCTATTCTGGCCAGCTGCCTGCCTAGTCCCTGATCCATCTGCCATCCCCCCAACCCTTGCCAGCAGCTCTTCAGCCCCTAGAGACCCCCTTCTCAGCCCAGTGAACTCCAGCAACGGAACACTTTGGGGCACTTCACAGCTCTTTCTGAACCGGCCCCAGATCTGCCTGGGCAGAGAGCTGGGCAACAGCAGGTACCCAGGCCTAGCCTCAGGATCTCGGGCCCAGTGTCTCCCTACCACCTTTCCTAATGTGGGGAAGGAGGTGTTCCTGGCTTGGGAATGGAAGCAGGAGCCAGGAGGTAGGTGGAGTAGATAAAGTGAATGCCCAAGAAAGGGGAAGAAAGGAAAGAAGGGTAATTCCGAGACAGAAGGGCTGGGCTGGGCTTTACTTCGCGCTTGTCAAATGCATAAAGCACAGAGTACTGGCTTCTACAGCGCTTAGCAAATATGTGTCCTAGGGTTAAACAAACAATTTGGGGAATTCTGTCCTATATTTCCCGCTTGAAGACTTACATATACATCTGTACCCTAAAAGTTCTAAGAACTTCTGTAACTGAAAAACAAAGTAATGTGACTTTAACTCACTGTTTTCCAAACTATTTGACCTGGGATCCCTCTCGCCAGAACACCTGTGGTTCAGCGGATCCCACTTTGGGAGTTGCTGGTGTGGTCACTTCTCCAGCCTGTCCGTGGGAGCAGCTGTGCTTGGTCAGGGTTGGGCGGCGGCTACCACACAGACTAGCGCAGTGGGAGGGAGGACCTCGCTGCAGATTGAAGCTGGCTGGGCCTGATGCTGACGGTCTGAGGCCTGTTCCAGGGGCCTGGGAGAAGCAGCTGGAGCCAGACCCCGGGGACGGGAGGCCCACCCACTCTCCTCCCCAGTCTTGTCACCAAAATTTAGAACCATCAAACCTTTAGTAAATGTCTTGGTATGTGCCAGGTCTTTCCCAAAAATTACTTCATTTTCATTCCCAGATCATTTTAGTACCCCACTTTATAGATGAGTAAACCAAAGCTCAGGGAGGTGAAGGGACTTGCCCGAGGCTGCCCTGTGCTCTGCTGGGGCCACCGGGCGGGAGGCCAGGCGCCCAGGCAGCACACCCTCCTCCTGCGTGTGGGTAAGATATGTTGGTCTCCTTTCCTCTGTGGGTTCCCAGACCTGGCAAAATCACCCAATGAGATTTTACAATTACACATTTCTGGGCACAACCCTGGAAATTCTGATTCAGTGGAGAGCTCTGGTGGTGCAGTGGTTAAGGCATTTGGCTGCTAACCACAAGGTCGGCAGTTTGAAGCTACCAGCTGCTCTGCTCTGCAGGAGAAAGGCATGTTTCCGTAAAGATTTACAGCCTTGGAAACTCTATAGGGCAGTTCTACTCTGTCCTACAGGGTCTGTATAAGTCAGAATCGACTCAATGGCAGTGAGTTTGGGGTGGGCCCAGGCATCTGCATTTTTAGGATATTTGCCAGGTGATTCTGATGAAGAGCCAGTGTTGGAAAGAACCGCTTTAGCGGTGACTCAAGTATCCCCGGCCTGGGAGTACAGGGCAATTGAACCCCAGTTCAAATCTCATTTCTTGTGTCTGTCTGATCTCCCCACTCCTGTCTTCCTGCCTGCTCCAAATTGAAGGAAAGGGTCCAAGGCTGGGTCAGGATGAGGGTGGGGGCACCCGGAGGAAAGGGCAGAATTGCCATAGCCCTGGACAATGCCTGAGCCAGCAGGGACCCTCTGCAGGACAGGTTACAGGCGATGACAACATTCCAGCCACAAGAGATGCCCTGCTGTGCTTGGTGGGGAGGGAAGGGGTCTGGGGAGAGTCTTGGCTGCAGCCCTGGGTGTAGGGTGAGTGTGGGGTGGGGGCCAGTGGGAAGCGGGAAGTGTAGAGAGGCAGGCAGTGAGTGCTGGCGGGGTGCCCGGGCACGGCTTCCCTGTGGTTTCTGCCTTGTATCTCTGAGTGAGCGAGTGGGTGTTGTGTCTGAGCTGGACGGGCCGCAGAGCGGCTACTGTCTGCCACTTCTCATTTCCCACGATTTCCCTCCAGGACCTGCTCTCTGTGTGGCGGGTGGGGAGGAGGTGGGAAATCGCTGGACACAGCTGCTCGCCCCCCCTTTGGCCCCCTGACCCCTTTCTGCCCCGCTCTGGTGGGCTGGGGATGGCTGTTCCAGACTCACTTCCTTCGGGACATCTTCTCTCTCTCACCCAGCCCTGTCTACTGCACATACCACTGGTGACCACTCACCTTCTCGATGACCCCGACCACCCTGCAGCCCCGCAGCTGCTCCAGGGCAGAGCTCAGTGTGCGGATGGGCCGGAGCCGCAAGCTGCTGAAACCCTGTGGAGGAGGGGAACCATGGGCCTGCAGCCTCAGGACCAGCCCTCCTCTGCCACAGCCCGGCCAGCGGCTCCCAGGGTGGTAGCGGAGGCCACGGCGGCAGGGCTGGGGTATAGGCAGACCCCCCCCTTACAGGGCTGACCCTGGCTGAGTGGAAAAGTCAGGAGCCCACACCAGTTGCAGTGGCTGGGCCATGCCCGGCCTCTCTGCTTAGTCCCCTCCCGGGCCCAGGGAGTACGTGGGGCTTCAGATGCTCCCTCTCAAAATCACCATCCACAGGATGCAGATGGTCCCAGGGTGGGTGATGTGGGAACATGCAAGTCTCAGGGAACAAATCTTGAAGATCAAGCATGCGGCCTGGGCCCCTGCTTTGAAGCAAAGGAGCCTTACAAGACACGGAGCTCCTGGGAGGAGGAGGCATGTGTTGTGCACACTCAGGGGAAGGGGATGAGTGCATGCATTTTCACTGAGCGGGTGCCCACTGGGTTAAGAAAAATCATATGGAGAGGGTGCTGCATGTGTGTGCACGTATTCATGTGTGTGTACACGTGCATGTATTCACGCCTGTTCCAAATACTCTGTGTCCATTCACAACAAGGACAGAAGCAGAGGCTTGTGCAAATGTGTGTGCACATGTGAGCACGTGCACCATTGTGTGAGGTTGTGTACCAGCCGAGTGTGAGGTTGTATACCCTTGCCAGCTCCTCTGGGGGAATGAGGCTGGACAGATGATTCAGCGTTCGGTCAAAGAATGGTCGATGCCGGCCTGGGGCGGAGAGGAAGCTGGGAGGAGGGTGGCAGGGTAGGAGGCGTGGCAGCCTGTCCCTGTGGCTACGGGGCCCCTGCTCTCCCCTCAGAGCTTCCCTCTTGTCAGGGCCGTGGAGGGATGGCTCACCGTGCCCAGGCTGGCTCCGCCGCCCAGCGTCCTCTGCAGGTGGCAGTTGAAGATCTCCTCAGCCCGTCGTAGGTACTTGGTAATTTTCAGCTTCACAGCTTCGCAGCGCTCTTTGTTGGAGTCGACTGTGAGGGGGAACAAGAGTCACCATGGACCGCCTTGAGGTTCCAACCTTGGGGCTCCAGCTCCCCTTGCCCACCCTTTCCCCTCCACAGGCTGCCTTCTAAGTCTGGCTCAGCAAATTCTGACCCCAGACTTGTTCCTAGACCCTCCTGGAAGGTGGGAGATCAGCAGGTGAGGAGAAGGAAAGACAATGGCAGGGAGGAGGTCAGGAGCCACGAGGCCCCTCGGCCGACAGCCCTTTACAGTTGGCGCACCCCACCTCACTGGCCATCATCACACCCTGGGAAGGGGCAGGGTGGGGATTTCCATGTCCATTTTTCAGACCAAGAGGCAGAAGATCCTAGAGAGCACTGCCTCTCCCATCTCTGATGCCCAGTGTGATAAAGGGCAGGGGTGGAGGTGGGGCGGCCATGAGGACTGCAGGGCAAAGGAATTCACTGGGCAGGCTTGAAGCCCAGGCTTCGCGGGGGTCTCTTCAGGACCCTTCAGGAGGGTGAGAAGGGCCAATCGGGCCCTGTCCAACTCCCACCCCCAACCTGGCCACAAGGCCCTCAGTCCCTCAGTACTTCAGAGCAGCCTCAGGGCAGCCCCCCACCGCCCAGCATGGAAATGTTCACTGGACCCTGCACAGGTCGTCCCCTCCCCCAGGCCTTCGCTGTTGTCTCTCTGGAACACTAGTAGGCCCTTCTGCTGGACAACATACCTGTCCTTCTTCAGGGCTCAGACTCCCACTACCTACCCACTGCCAATGAGTCGATTCTGACTCAGAGCGCCCCTTTAGGACAGTAGAAGTGCCCCACAGAGTGGCCAAGGCTGTAAGTCTTTACAGAAGCAGACCACCACATCTTTCTCCTGTGGGGTGGCTGGTAGTTCGAACTGCCGACATTTTGATTAACAGCTGAATGTCTTAACCACTGTGCCAGAGCTCCTTAGGGCTCAGATTACAGCTATGAATTCTGGAAAATGCCCTATGCCCACCCAGTCTGGCCTTGGCTTCCTTTTTCCATCCCCTGTCGCACCTTCCACTGGGAGGAGCCTCAATTCATCAGTCCATCATCCATTCATCCTTCTCTTCAACTAGAATGCAAGCTCCCAGCGGGCAGGAGCCCAGCCTAGTTTGAGGGGAGGTCAAGTGTAGTGGTCAAGCCCACAAGCCTCTGGAGCCAACACCGTTCAAAACCCAGCTTTTCCACTCAATAGCTGTGGGGTCTTGAGCATGCTATTAATTGCCCTGTGCCTCAGTTTCTCCATCTGGAAAATGGGAGTAAAAATTGTATATATAAAAGTGTATATATATATAGTAGTTCTATTACTGTGAGGCTCAAATTAGTTAATATGTACAGGTAATGCCCTTGGAACAATGACTGGCATATGCCAGTTGCCATCAGTGGATTTATGGTGACCCCAAGTGTTGGAGAGTAGAACTGCTCTGTAGGGTTTGGTTGGCTGTAATCTTAACACAAGCAGATTGCCAGGCCTGTTTTTCTTCAGTACTGCTGGGTGTGTTCAAACCACCAATCTTTAGGTGTTTAGTCATTGAACACAAACAGTTTGTGCTACCCACAGACCTGTCTGGCAAAATAAAATAAAATAAACTCACTGTCATTGAGTCGGATCCAACTCATACAGACCCCTCCTTGGGTTTCCG